TCCCCCTCCCCCTCCTCTCTCTCTCTCTCTCTCGCATGTATGTACGAGATCCGCACAACCGCACACACGTCTGCGATACTCAGAGTTGATTTCTGCATGCGTATGTATATTGATGATTCAACGCATACACACGGGTGTTAATATCAATAGCAATAGTTTTAAGGTATAGATTTGGATGTCCTGGAGATTCTTTGGATTTAGAACTTGTGTCGCAATTTTGTTTCACTATACACGTTTCATAAGAGAAGCTTTACTTCCCCGGCGCACGTCGTTGACACGTATAACCGGTGTGAAAATTTATTTTGTAACACCTTACTTTTCTCTCTTTTCCACTTGCGGCTCGCTTCGTGGAGAGGACTTCATTTTCGCTGTTCTAATCAGCGTGAAATAAACGCTGACAGTTTCGTAATTTGAAGATATTTCGCTCGATATTTGAAGATTTGAATACATGTCTTACGAAAAAAGTATATAGAATTGCGTAAATAACAAGTGCAAAGAGCACTTCACGAAAGTGCACGCATTTTCATCGTAAATCATGCAATTTTTATATTTGTTGCACGATTTTATATACATATGTATATATATATATTTTTTTTACAGTGTGGGAGAGCCATCACGGTCACACGTGGGTGAAATTGCATGCCCTTATACGCGCAATTGTTTGAAGCGTGCCTCCCGCGCGCAACGAGAAACGTTAAGGTAGGTCAAGGGCGCGTGTCGCCTCGGACGAGTCTCTCGATAGATCTCGCCTCTTTGGAGGATGCATACGTGCATTTTCAACAAGCCCTCCGCATCTGAAATCTCGCGATCTTTATCTTCTTTTCATCGTCAAAAATCCCCCCCAGTAAATATTCCAATGAAATCTATCGGATCCGGCTTCGCGTCGTCGTTGTAATTTCGAATATATATCAATAGATGTAGATAAAATTAAAAGAATATATATTACAAAAAAATATTTCGCTGAAAAGCTTTCCAGTTGAAATTCTAAATGTTACGGTTAAAGTATTATATTATCGCTGTTTTTCGTATCTGTTGGAAAATCGTGTCTGTCGTACATAGAATTTGAAACATTTAACTATATATGCAAGAAAATTTAAAACTGCTAACCAAATCACACAGTCATTTTTATAAGAATGCCTGGTTATTTTTGACCAAATGTCACAGACTTTCTTGTCAAATTTGACAAATTGTTCAGACATATAAATTCTGTCTTTGTCTGATTGACATTGATTAGATACAAGACATATCGCACTACTTGTTAGTCATTTATGTATTTTAACTTAATTTTTCTAAATAATTTATGAAAGACCGTTTTTTCGATGTTAATTGCGAAAAACGACTTTTTTTATGGAATCACTTGCAAATTCTCGAAAATTCTTTCCTTACATACGATGTTGTAGAAATTATTACGTTTATTTTAAAAATTTAAAAGAAAAGTATAATTCTCAGGGATTTGCCAGCAACTATTTAGGAGGATAAAGCCTCATTCACTTCTACAGCAAATTTCTCTGCTCGCACTTCTCTACGCTAATGCACAAAGTTTGTTAATAATTATGAAATCCTATGATTACAAAATATGACATGATACTTGGTAACGTAAGTAACAATTATAAAAATATACACAGTTGATCAGATATGAACCAACGTTAATCGTATTTTTATCGGCGAATATACATTTATATATATGTAATATACATATTGGATTTATCAAAGTTCGACTTACCTTGCACTTTCGCTTAGATATCTTCACGCATAAGCGACTCGATCGGGCGTACCGGCGAGGAGAAAGCCTGCGCGGGCAACCGAATTCGCTGTAAATGTACACGTTACGGCACTCGATTGATAAGCCTTAACACACACACACACACATACACACACACACACACATATGCGTGTCGCGAGTCAAAGTCCACGTACACAACACATCGAAACGGCCAGTAGCGGCTCTCGCGATCGGATGCCTCCAACCGCTCGAATCATTTCCCCGCAGAATTTCACTGGTGTTTACCTTCTCGGAGAGAGATGGCGATAAGATAGCGATAACTCACTCCGACGTATTATTAGATCCACCACACGGATTTCTACTCGGATAATCGGCTATCTCGATTTTAGCCGACTGACAAAGGGAACGGCCGTCCGCGCGCGCAATCGTAACACGTGACACCGTATGCGGTAGCGCATTATGATGTAATACCGCTCGTATTTCCGGCGATTCAATGCGAACGTGCTTTTCCCATCATATCATTGACCTCCGGGAAGGTTACCGAATTCGGGATGAGAATGTCGTCGTCGAGTATCCAAAAACATTCCGCCGTTATTTCCGGTGACTCTCTCAATTTTTTTCGAAAGATATTTTAGTTATCTATCGAATCGAATTAATCGCGAATGTTACATCGCAAAGAAATAGAATCATCATCGCTACCACTTCAAATATTCGACGGTTTCTAAATAAAATTAATGACGTATGTTATGAATGTCTTTAAAGGCGCGGTTGCATTAACATTATTTTGATTTAAGCGAGATTTAAAATTTTAAATTTGCTGTATCAAAGTGAAGGCGATCTAAAGTGTTTTAATTTGCGTTTATTAAGATTAGTGTAAATTAAGCATTTTGAATATATTTTTCTTAAAAATGATATGTTAAATCGATAATTCGAATTCCTTGTTGTCCTTCCCGTGATGCTGATAGTCATTTTTAACTCGACGTATGACACATAATTTTGTGTCGTGAACAGATATTGTTGTGAATTGGCAGTTTAATTTACTACGATTAACCCCCATTTTTATCGATATGGATTAATCTCGGTTCAATTTATCCTTTATATTGGCGGAAATTCATAGAATTATATAAAAATAAAAAGTGAATTTAACCAAGATCTAAGTTAATTTACATTGATAGAAATGGATAAGGGTCTCTTTCATCAACTTCGATTAATTTAAATCAGTCGATTATTTCATTGGAATTGACCATCGCATTTGTCACAAGCAAGCAAAATGTAAGCAAATGTAGAATAGATCAATAGGCCGGTATTCATACTCGATTTTTATATTTAAAATTGTCCTAAGTACACTTAAGATCTCATAAACTAATCATTATTTGAGACAGTTAAAAATAAAAATAGATTATGAATATACTGGTCATAGTTGACACTTAATCGGTCAATTAAGTTGATCGAAAATGATGAAAGAAGCCTAAGATTTCTAAAGGTCAAGATTAAGCTTACTGCAATAATTAAAACTGTACAGTGAACTGAAAATAAATGGCGCGCTTCGTGATTCCTAGTAATTAAGACAAAAAAAGAGAAAAACGGAAAATCGCTTAGTGGCGCATTGAAATCTATCTACGTACGCACCGTGTCCTGCGATCAAATTTTGATTATCATCCGTACGATCAATTGAATTAAAGAGAGAAAGAGATAGAAACACCGCGAATATCTCACGCGGCGTCGTTCGATAATCGAGTAAGGTTAGGTTAGATGGCGGACCGATGGCGGAAAAAGACGAACACCACGCGCGGTCACGCCGGAACTGCCGGGGCGGCCGATGTTAGCCGAACGCGCGCACTCGCCCCCCCCACCACTGGCGTTACGGCGGCCGAAGATCGCCGAGGCGCCGTGCTCCCGGACGGTTACGTTCGCATTCGCTCGTTCGCCAGGTCGCAGTTGTCAGCTGCACAATGGCGCCGTTGGTCAGTGCTCGCTCGTCCTGCTGCCGCCGTCGTTTCTGAGCGGTGGGTCGGCCCAAACGTTGGACCGTCCGTTGCGCGGATACCACGAGTCTCTCTCTCTCTCTCTCTCTGTCTCTCCTCTCGCGCACGCTCTCTCATATTTCTCATATTTCTCGTTCGCTTCTCTCGACTCGAGGACTCGTTGCGGCGTCAAGTCCTCCAACAACCGCGTTTCTGGAACGAATCGACGCGTCACGGCTCCGTCGACGTGACGCCAGCGGCCGACGAAGTGCGTCAAGAAGAAGAAAAAAAAAAAGAAGAAGAAGAAGAAGGTTCTGAGGCCGATCGCAGCAATCGCGCTCGATCACACCCCTCGATCGCGGTGCCGCCCGCGAACGTCCAATCGTCTCAACCAACCAACCTACCTTATCCCACCGATTCAGGAACGACGCACGGCGACAACGACGAAGGAAAATACGAAGGTAAAGTTCTGTTCAAAATGCGCGAGAAAAAAAAAAAAAAAGAAAAATGCATAAGGGAAAGATGTCTGGCGATGAAGAGATCAATCGTCGTCGTCGAGCGCGTGTGTGCAATCTACCCCTAACTCGTAGGAAACGCGCTATCGACCGTGGAATACTATGGGGGAGATGCTCCCCGGTCGGTTATTTCGCGGGGTGGAAACGACGAGTAACGCGACACCCTTCTCTTTCCTCCCGCCAAAGTGCTTGTGTACGACGGACGCCGTGTGTGCGACGTCACGCGACTCCAGTGCAAAGTGCAGTGTTCGTTTCCATCGGCGTTTAATATTGGCCTATCTGCCGGTCACCGATGACCGATCTGACCTGGCCCCGCTCACGCGTGGGTTCGTTAAATATCTTTTTTTTTCGCGCCAGAGCGACAGCGACCGCAGCGACGCGACTTTCTCGTTGCGTCTTCCGCTTTCGCGCCGTTGCGAACCGATTAATCGATACGAGATTTACAACGATCTCGATTTTCGAGAAGATCGGTTGATAAACGAAATATTTGGTAATGATGCGGAGTTAATGTCATCTCGTTAATCATTTGTTCGGTTCATCACGGCTGTGATTATCGGAAAAGAACAAAAAAAATTATTCAGCTACGCTATTTTGTAAATTTTCATATCTCTTTTTCTTTTTCTTTTTTTTTTTTTTTTTTTTTTTTTTTTTTTTTTTTTTTTTTTTTTTTTTTTACTTTTTTTTTTA